GTGGAAAGAATCAAGCTACATAAAATCACTCCATATATCTGAACGTTTACTTAAACATCACCATATGTGGTCACATAGGACATGATCTGAGTTACATAATTCTCACATTCTTAAAAATCATAGTTGATACCATTTAAATAAATTATTGATGACTCATCAGGAAGATTAAATATGGGAGTTAGTGGGCTTTGCTGAAACACAGATACCCTGGGGAATTATTGAAGTATGCATGACTACTCGCCCTGGCACAAGTAAAATAAAATGTTATTGATTGCATTCTAGTTTCAGTATTTTTATGTTTTTGTTTCTAAGTATTCTTCTCTTGTTGCTAGGCTATCAACCATCACTTTTCCCCCTTTTTTTGGTGGTGCTAAGGATGGAACCCAGGGCCTCATGCATGCCAGGCAAGGGCTCTATCACTGAGCTGCATCCCCAGTCCCAGCCATCACTTCTTGATGATCCCAGTACAACAGTCGGGACAAACCCTCTCCTAATTTGTGCTTCTGGTCTGAGATGGATGGAAAATGGATAATTAAGCTCATTAAGATACCACAAGGGGCAAGGAGAAGGATGAGAGGCTGATAAAAGGCTCATGGGTCTTTCTTCCCACGAAGCTTAAGAGATGGATTTGGTGGCATTTTGCAGATTGCATACCATTTTTTTGGTTCTCATTTATATTCCAAAAGGATGAATTTATTAAATAGGTATGGTCTGGATAGTGAAGCTATTACACATTAGAAGCAGGTGTATTTACTGCTCTGTTTTTGTGTACCAGATCCAATTACAACATGGAAAACATGTCTATTATTTTTGACATGTTAGAAAATCATTTTAAAATGTATTAAATCAGACTAACACACTTCTCTACATAGCTCCTAAATGCTGAAAGGACATGGCACCTTTCATACTAACTGCAGTCTACGAAGACAGGGACTGTTTTGATATCATGTCACTGGATGTTAACTATACTACTTTTTCTTTCCATAAACAATTATTAATGCTCAGTATACCCTGGCTTCTCCTGTCTGGCTATGTAAATATAAGGTTCAACTAAATGTTGAAAATACCTTGTTTTGTCTTCTTTGGTGAAGTAACTGGGATACTACTGTAGCCTATATTATTACCTATCAGAAGCACTTCTTGCCTCTCATCCTACACAATACTACTTTTTATTAGAGAAGATAATTTCTGGAATGTTCTTACCCTTCATGTCCTAGTTGAATTATCATCACTGAAAACTTCCCAGTCTCCTGCAGGATATACCTAATTTCACCTTCCTTTGGGCTCTCACTAAATTTTACAAAGAGTAATGGGATATTGGTGGTCAAGGGTAGATATTTCAGACAAAGTGTTCTGCATGATAAAATGAAGGTATTTGCAAAGCCTATATACTGTTTGGGAAGTACTATATTTAGTTTCATTAAAACACAAGGTACTTTGGGAAGAATAACAGGCTAAAAGGCCATCATGTTAAGATGGGGCCATGCTGAAAAAGTTCATATGTCACAAGTAAGGTCTCCACTTTCATCAAGATAGCACTGGGTAATAAACATAAGGTTTTTTTCTAATATATGCTTATAGTAGAATCAGATTTCTTTCTTGAGAATAACTAAGAACATCATAGAGCATTTTTCTGGAGGGGAAGGGTGTAAAAATATGGGATATTAATTAGGAAATTATTGAAATAATATTGGTGGGAGAAGATAAAGGCAGTAGTGAAGAGAGAATGTGATAGTCATAGTCTATACTATACAATAAGAAGACATAATGATTGCCTGGCTACAGGGGCAAAGAAGAACAATGTCTTCAGGAAAATTAAAGATTTGGGGAGAAAAAAATGCCTGTAAATTCTAAAATGGAAAACACAAGGAGAAAACTAGAACTCCTTGGGATGAATCAGGTTAAGAGGAAGAAATAATAAGCTAAGTTTCAATGGAAAAGGTGGTACAGTGTAGTAGTTATAGCATTTGTTCTGGAGCCAGACACCTTGATATCTGATCTAGGCTTTATCTCCTATTATGCCATGCTGTGACCTTAGAAATATCACTTAATTTCTATGGGCCTCAGCTTCCTTATCCATAAAATGGGGCTACTGCAACTATCTCCTCTTAGAATTCCTGTGAGGTTTAAACATGATAACATGTATTTAGAACATTGTCTGACACTTGGCAATTTTCAATTATGAATGCTATTTTTTTAAATATTTAATTTTTAGTTGTAGTTGTCAATGCCTTTTTTTAAAATTTATTTTTACGTGCTGCTGAGGATTGAACCCAGGGCCTTGCACACACTAGGGAAGTGTTCTACCACTGTGCCACAATCCCAGCCTCATGAATGCTATTTTTAATTTCTTATTTTTGCAACATTTGTAAGATAACTAGTTCAGTATTTGGATATACAGCTGTGAATGGAGAGAAAGGTATGATCTGCATTTATAAACTTGGAGATTTCCTAGGATATAAGTTGTATGTTAAAACTAGAGAAGTAACTGAGAATATGTATGGAGAAAATAAATATGTATATGTCTATGAGCATATATACATGTATTTGTATAAGTACATATGTATATATGGATAGGTGGATGTAAAATGATAATAGAGAGGATCAATGACAGAAAATGTGAATGTCAAAAGTGGAGAAATATTTAAAAATAGAGAAACGCCAAGCTCAGTGGCATACCACTGAGACAGGAGGGTCAGGAGTTCAAAGCCAACCTCACCAAAAGTGAGGTGCTAAACAACTCAGTGAGACCCTGTCTCTAAATAAAATTCAAAATACGGCTGGAGATATGGCTCAGTGGTTGAGTGCCCCTGAGTTCAATCCCCAGTATCAAAAAAGAAAAAAAATAGAGAAAGAACCATTACAGGTAGTCATAAAGCAGAGAGAAAACTGTGCCTGGAAGGCAAAGGAAGAAAAACTTTCAAAGAAGACGATGAGGAAGAGTACCTAGATATCAGTGGCATTCTTCCACTGGAAAGAGGCCATTGGATTTTTGAAATTAGAGGATGACAGTATGCCTTTTTGAGAACTGTGAGAAATCTGAGTTATGAAAGGTAATTTAAAACAGAAAACAAGTAGAGATTATTCTTTTAGAGACATGGACTATAAAATGATAAAGCAATATGAGAGGCTAGTTAAAAGCATAACTCAGATGAAAACCAGCATCATAGGATGTGAGACTGGAGAATGACACTAAGTTAAAGGGAAGACAGTAAAGATAGAACGTGTCAAGATAGATGGTTTATCTTCTGCCTATTTCTTGAAAAACCTATCACAGGTACAAAAGTTTACTTTACAGATGGACTAAGAAAAAAACTGAGAAGTCAATAATCTGTTTTAAAATAAAAGAGGGGTATATATAGTTATTATATTAAAATATAATTAGTCCTGTATTTTAACAAAATTACTTCCTGAGACTATAATAACATTTTGAGATGTCTCAGGATACTACCAAAATAGAAAAGTAATTCTGTTAAAATACTGTACTAATTATATTTCTTAAACGACAAATTTAAACTTTTGTTTTTCATTTCTGCATTCTGAATATATTTTTAAACTTTTCAAGGATATTTTTTATTCACATTAAATACAACAAATAAACAAATTCACTCAATTCTTGTGAGAGTACAAGGCTCAGTATATAACAAATTGCTAATTTTTGTAGCTCATTAGAATAGGAAATTTCAAATTGTAGTTTGCATCTATAATCAGTATTCAACAATTTCTTGAATACTTAGCAAGATGTCTGTGATTTTTCCATATGTTATTTGTTAAACATTTTCTACTTTATCATTCCATTGTGTCCAGCTTCCTGAAGGATAGCAAATATTAATCTCATCTCATTGTTTGGGGTAAACTAATCTATGGTAGTGGTGTCACATTAAAATACAGGCAATGCAATATACAAATGTTGGCATCACAAAGACCTAAGTTCAAATCACAGTTCTACCACTTAACCATTATGTGATTTTTCAATGGGATTTAGCCTTCCAGCAAATCAATTCTCTTATCAGTAAACTGGAGGTAATAACACGTAATTCACAGAATTATGCTTTAAAATTCATTTAAGGTGGATTTTTAAAATATGTAATTGTACTTTGCCCAAGTATGACAAACTAAATATAAAATGTAATGAAAACTTTGAATATAGCTAAAACTACTTCATTCCTCCTAAAGATACTTTACAAGAGAAGTACAAAGCTTTATGGCAAGAAGAAATGTATTCGTAAAAAAAAAACTGGGAAAATATTCCAACTTTTAAATATGTAATACCTTTGACATAATCACACTATAAAAGTTTATCTAAAATGTTCATCATAATTGAACTAGAAGAACACACGATTAAGAAAATTACTTATATATTTGAAGAAGCATTAAGGTTTCTTAACATCACATATTCTCTTTAAACAAGCCAATTCATTTATCTGATACAATTTCAAACTCTAGAGAAAAAAAGATATATTTCAGAATATAACTTTGAAAAGGAGAAAATTAATTGTGTTAGTTTCTCATAAGAAATTTTAATATTTAAATACTAGTAAATTATTTGATAAAATTAAATATAAAAACTTGTTGTCTTTGCTGAATGACAGTTCAACAGCATAAAAAAAATTCATTCAGCAATTTTCCACATTGCATTTAATGGCATTTAATGGCATACATTATCTAAAATAAAGAGTATTAGCATCAGAGACCAAAAAAGCTGGCATCAATTTCCGTCTCTTACAAGCTGTATCGCCTTAGACAAGTTATTTACTCTTCATTCTTATGAGCAAAATGGAGATGATATTAATACCTATAAAGCTGGGTTGTTGGGAGAATTAAATCAAATGACATATGCAAATTAAAATGTTTAGTCTAGGAGCTCATATCATAAATATGCGCCATAAATATGAGTTCTTATTCCTCAAGAATAAAGTTAACATAGATCATTTCCTGAACCACCTAGAAAAGGACAGCAAGTTTTATTATTTTCTGAAGAAAAGACAAAACTAACTTACCTGTAATTGCAAAGCTTCATGATTTTCCAATCCTTCCACAATTGGTGAAAATCGCTCCCTGTTATTTCTCTCTGCAGCAGTAGTTATAGCCCCTAAAAGTTTATCTAGACTACAGAGGGGGAAAAAAAGAAACAGAAATGAAAAATACTTCTTACACATATATTATGAACATTGGTTATTTCTTTCAGTCTTACCAGTTTTACTTTTGGAGCATAATGTTTATGTATGTTATTACATGTTTTAAAATCATTTAATTTTTTCATCAACAAATAAAACTGTGTATACTTATAGTGTACAACATAATATTTTGAAATATGCATATATTATAAAATGGTTCAATCAAGGTAATTAACATCTGCAGTACTTCACAGACTTATCTTGTGTGTTTCTCTCTCTCTCTCTCTCTCTCTCTCTGTGTGTGTGTGTGTGTGTGTAAAGAGAATAATTAAAATCTACTCATCTATTTTCAATTACAGATTATATTATCAGCTATAGACAACGTAATATACAATAGATCTCTTTGATTTATTCTTTCCAACTGAAAGATCATTACGATATAATAATTGAGCTACTGTCCACATATTCCTACAAGTTGAATACTGATAACTTTAAATAATTTTAGAGCATGAAAATTCAAATTCAATTAGAAAAGTCTTGAGAAAAATAATGTTTCTGGGTGATACCTTCAAAAGAATTCTTGATAGAAAAACATTAAAATTTAAATTTTCAGGTTTTGAAATATCATGTGTTAATAAAGATCTTCATATCACTTAAGTATAATGTTATGTGTATAATTAATAGATTATTCTATTGTAAACACACTGTGATTTAATAATAAAGTGCTGGACAGAGAGAATATTTTAAAAATAACTTTAATCAACATTATTTGATAAAAGAATAAGAAAAAAAGAAACCAAAAGTGAAATTCAAGGTAATTGAAGAAACATCCTTATCTAGCACAAGAAATTTGTTTACCTAGATAAAAATATTGATAACTATACCATATGATGTTGAAATCAAATGCACCTCTATGTAGTACTCTATTTTTATCAAATAATATCTGAAATTATAATTAATTCCTAACAATTATATCAGGCTAGGATGACTTTTACATATTAAGTTATGGAAATCTACTTGACTAGAAAACAGTATTTCTTATTCATGTATAAGCTGATTTTTCTATAAAGCCAAGGGAAACTTTACTTTTGCATATGTTACTTCATTTGTTCTCACTGAGAAAAGAGTTAACATTATAGGTAATATTTTAGGTTTAATGTTTGTCTTTTGAGTTCTGAAGACAACAGCTAGCACTAAACAACATCTCATTTTTTCTAACAATTATGAGAAAGTCAGCATATTGAAATTTCCTTAAATATTTGCATGGTCCACCCTGTGAATCAAACTGAAATTATTACTCTCACACAAAGGTTTGAGAAAAATATTTCATTTCATGTCCATAGTACATATTTCAATTTTCACACAATGGTTTCTTACAAACTAAAATTACTAATGAAATAAATGTGAAATTTTGATTTGGATTCAATATCATTTCCATAGGAATATATGATCCAAAACATACTCAGCAAAACTTGCTAAATTGGGTGCATATATATAGACATACACATATATATATATACATATATATGCATATATATATATATATATATACATACATATTCATACACATACACACACACCTATAAAAAACAAAGAAAAAAAGAAAAGTTAATTAATTTCACTTATCAATAAGTACTTCATCTTTTCAATTATCATAGGTATTCAAACTAAAAGGCTATCCAAAAAATTATACTAAAATAAAAGCATATATTCAATTCAACTACAGACATAAAATTGTGTGATGTGCAGCATGGTGTGTGTGTGTGTGTGTGTGTGTGTGTGTGTGAGAGAGAGAGAGAGAGAGAGAGAGAAAGACTGCCAAAATAACTAACTTTTAAATTTTGCCCACTTTTCTAATGATGGCTTCACCTTTGGCAAGACAACATTCTATTTATTCACTTTAAATTTGCCTTAAAAAATTCCCCAGTAGGATTCCATTTAAATCTAGCTTCCATAATCTCCAAAAACTGTTACAATATAAATATACAAGACAAAAGTGTCAATCAAAAAAACCCTAAAGTCTAATACTTTTTTTATACAAGTTATCCAATGAAAGAGAACAAAAGTAAGACTTATTAAAAGTAAGACTTATCTCAAAGAGTTGTTTTCTATGCAATAAATATAGTACAGCAATACTTACATATTCTCTTCTCCAACAATGCAAATAGCAGAAAGTATTTTTACTATTTCAGTCATCATGTTGGGTTGTTTGGGGTCAATTGCTCTTGCCAATAGTAAAAGACTTCTTTCATCCCCTAGAATCCTTTGTAATCCAAACTAAAGAGAGGAAAATATGAAATATAAAATTTTCATACAAAATGAAATGTCTATGGAGCATCTTTCATTAAATAAAAAGGAACTAAACCAAAATTACCCAAAAAATCTGTACCTCCGCAAAGAGGTTCTCACTAATTATATAAATGTTCTTTACATGCAGTGACATACTAAATATGTAAAGATATAAGACATGTATCTGGAAAACCATCAATCCAAACATCAGAGCAATATTATCAAAATGGAAGCTAAGGAATAATGGTTTACATTTTATGATTTTCATAAGAGTTTCAGAAGGTAATCTAAATTCCAAGGGGCCAAAAAAAAAAAAAAACCTGACATTTAAGTAATTTCTGATTAATGTTTCCTCCTCTGATTTAGACAATTTATTCCATGTGAAATTAATACAAAACAGTATATTTTCTATTTTGAATATGTATTTATGCCTATTGTTTCACATGCCTGTAATTTAGATGATCCAATTGTTCATGTTCTAAGTGCCTACATGCAAGACATAAATGTGGTCTAACTAAAACTTACCCTTAGTTTAGAATAATCTAAGTCAAATTAGCAGGTTCTTCAAAAACTGCAAAACCCTTACAAAATAAGAACCTATGTGTTGATATAACAAAGTGTGGGGAAAAGGCTCTATTGAAAATCTCACCAATATAATTTTCTCTAGTGACTATACTGATTATAATTAGTTGGTGTCCTAGAAAACTGTGACAGTTGACAACATGAATCAATGAGAATGCAGAACAAAGGGTACTATAGTTGAATTTACAGATGAGTGGACTGATTAGCTGGAGAGGTGAATTTATTTTTCAGAGGCCACTCAACTTATTAGTAGCAAAGCATGAACTCTGTATAGTTCAGCAGAACCCCTGATTTCTGGTATTATGTTGTCTTTCCATTATGTCATTATTTCCCTCAGTTGAAAAGAGATTCATTGTAAACCATGGAGAAGCAACATTTAGTAAGTTCTTTCTTGTTACCCATCAAAGTCTGCATAACATTGTAACCAAAGACTAAGAGCACAGCATTTGAAAAATTCTGTACTAATATGGATAGGGATCTTTCTGTGAAAAACTTCCAGAAACAGCATTATAAGTGTATTTAAGAATCTCATGTCTACTAGCAAGCATCTACCATATGTGCCAATAATATTTTTCATTGATATATGTACATAAAATATATATGATTATATAACTTCATATGCCTAAGAAAGACTGCAGATTCCTTAAATACAAAATTTTATTTCATTGGTTATTAATAGTTTTATTTCACATATGGCAAGATTCCATATAATTACATATCTCTATTAGGCACTTTGAGATTATAGAATGCCATCTAAAGGCAATTATGTAATTAAGTGAATTAATCAATGGTATTTTACTTGTAGGTATATAAGTTACATCATTTCTAAGACACTAATAAAAAGCCTAAAATTCATATAGTTCCTAATTACACAACTGGTATTATACAAAAAATAAAGCCCTGCTGTCTTCCAGAGATGTCATTAATGTTTCAGTCAACTTTTGCATCACTGACACCAAAATATTTGACAAAAACAACTTAGAGAAGGAAACATTTATTTTGGCTCACAGTAGACAGGTGACGCCATTACTCTGGGCCCAGGGTGAGGCAGCATATCATGGGGGAAGGACAGGACAAAGGGAAGTTTCTCCTCTCATGGTAGCACAGAAGCAGAGAGGTGAGCAAAGGGGCTACAGAGCAGATGCAACCTTCCCATCCAATGACCCACCTCTTCCAGACACATCCCACCTGCCTACAGTTAAAATCCACTGAATCCATTCAAACTAGTATGGACTGATTGGACTACATCTCTGACAATCATTTCATCTCTGAATATTCCTGCACTAATACAAGAGATTTTGGAGGACACCTCACATGCAAACCATAACATTCCGCCCCCAAAAGCTCATGTTCTTCTCACAATGCAAAACACATTTAGTTTATCCCAAAGACTCCCATAGTCTGAAGAGTTCCCATACTTCCCAAAAGTGAAGTTCAAAGTCTCTTCTGAGGCGGCCTGGTGGCACAACACCTGTAATTCCAGTGGCTCGGGAGGCTAAGGCAAGAGGATCTCGAGTTCAAAGCTAGCCTCAGCAACTCAGTTAGGCCTTAATCAACTGAGCAAGAACCTGTCTCAAAATACTTTAAAAGGGGGCTGGGGATGTGGTTCAGTGGTTAAGCACCCCTGCCCCACTTCAATCCCCAGTACAAACAAACAAACAAAGTCTCTTCTGAGACTCAAGGCAAACTCTTGGTCTCTTGGTTATGAGCTCCTATAAATATCAAAAGGAAGTTACATTTATCTAATATAGTGGCACAGCATAATCACTCCCATTCCAAAGGGAGGAATAGGAGCACAAAAAAGAAAAAAAAAGGTGGGGCTAAAACAAGTCTAAAGTCAGCCAGGCAAACAAGTCCGCTAAATATGCTTATAGCAAGTCACATACCCATAAGATGTACTCTCCGAAGGACTTGGGCAGCCCTACCCCTCCCCTCTTTGGTCTGGCTAGTTACAGTGCACTTGGGCTATCTTTTAACCTGGCTTGCTCATAGCCAGCAGCTTTTCTAGGCTGATAGTCCATGTTACTGGAATCTCCTAATTCCTAGGGTCTCCATTTCAGCTTTGGCTTCACTTTTACAGCTTCATGCATTGCCCTCTCATAGACAGATGGTGTTACACTTTCCCTTGCCTCCCAGGCCTTCCTTTTAATTCTCAGTGTAAACATCCATGACCCCTTAACTTTAGCATCCTGTATTCCTGAAGAACCAACACGACATGGATGACAACAAGGTCTGCTGCCAGCCCAGCTCTTACAATACCTGGGCCCTGTGGAATCATGGCTTCTACAGACTCTGAGTTTCTGGATGGCTGGGTACAACTTCCTAGGTACCCCTGTGAAAGCAGTGAATCCCAGTGATCTCTTCTCAAAGGAACTTTCCCTTCTACACCCTAGAGCCCAGAAGGGTTATGGTCATGTAAATTCCTGAGATGTCCTCAAGCCATCTTTCCTATTTTCTCTGTGATGTATTTAGGGTCTCTATAGGTACCATAATATCTTCAACAAGCACAACTCTCTTGGCATTAATTGTACATGCATGTTTTTGGTCAAACTACAGGTTTTTAAAATACTTCACTTCTGCTATCTGCTCCTGTTTGTCACAGTAAACCTGGCTAAAAGCTGCCAGCAATATCTATGCCACTGATTGAATGCTGTGCTACCTTGAATTTCCTTTGACAGATTAATTAGTTCATCACTTTTAAATTAAGCTTGACACAAAGTCTCAGGACACAAATAAATTGTACACAGGTCCTTTGCCAGAATGTAACATTAAAAGGCCTCTAGTCCAATTCCCAACAAAGTCTTCATTTTTCTCTGAAACTTCAAGATCATAGCTCTCACTCTTATCAGCATTCTGGTCTTCTGGGTTCCCATCAGAATCATCCATTAAGCTCTGTTTAAAATATACTAAGGCTTTCCAGCATGCATTTCCAAACTTTTCCAAATTTATCCCACAAACCATTTCCAAATGCTTTTGAACCACGTTGTCAGATCAGTCACAGCAATGATCTTACTTCTCAGTACCAATTTCTGTTTTAGTCAGCTTTTGTGTCACTGTGATCAAAATTCCTGAAAAGATTAACTTAGAGGAAGAAACATTAATTTTGGCTCATGATATTAGAAGTCCAGTTCATAGGTGGCCAAGTCCATTGCTCTGGGCCCAAGATAAGGCAGCACACCATGGGGAAAGAGTGTGAGAGTGTGGCAGTGGTAAGCTGTTCTCCTTTAGGCAGTAAGGAAGTGGAGTGGGATGGGATGGGATGGGGATGCAGGGATGAACCTTTCCAGGGCATGATGCAGTAATCCACTTCTTCCAGCCACACCCCACCTACCTACACTTACTACACAGTCAGTCCATTCAAACTAGGATGGACTAAATAAATTAGAGCTCTCACAATCCAATCATTTCACCTTTGAATGTTCCTGCGTTCACACAAAGGATTGGGGGGGCATCACATTTACAAACCATAATGCTCATAAATGACATTTACTCAACATAAAAGAGAATATTAACTTTATGATGTTCATAGAAACCAAGTCAAACCTGACCATTAAATTTTCTTTTTCAATGGAATAAAAACCGTATAGAAATAGTATTCCAACTTATGACCTTTAACTGCTACAGTAAAAGAAAAATAAAAGTATTTCTAATTTGAAAACAAGACTGATATGTTTACATGATTGCAATACCTACTAATGAATACTGTATAAAACAAAAGTATATTTTAAATAGTCTTTCAATGAAACTTATGATTTGCATCATAAAGACATTTTGTAAATTAAATAAATACTATCTCATCTGTTTCATACTTTCACATTGTCAAGCAAGTTTCCCCCTTTTGTAACAAAGGCAGAAGAAAATACTACTTACCTTATTATTCATAAATGCTTTGAGGCACTGAATGAGTTTATATTGATTCTTCTTGTCAATATTTTCTTGCCTAAGAAAAAAATAATAAGGTGTTGTACTTCAAATTTTCCCCTTTGATGAAAAATTTTTAATGTTTATTCTTACAGTTTTTTGTCCAGAATCTTTTCCAGAACATCCAATAAGAGCCCGAGACCTTCATGTCCAAAGTTGTTAACCCAACTATAAAAAGAACACACAAACAAAAAAAGTATGATTAAATTCATGTATTTAAGACATTAAATATTCAGAATGACATTTTGATTTTCATTTCTGATAATGTTATCTTACTATTGTTTTCTCTGCTGATACTGATTCAAATACTGACTGTATATGCATAACTCAGAGATCTTTTCCTAAATCCAAGAACTTTCTTCACATTTTTGATTGCCCACTAAACAGCACTGCCTTGGTTGTTTCACTACCATCATATAGTTAAGTCTGAATTTATGTGCTGAATTTATCTTCCCATTTCCAATCCTCTAAATCAACTCCTCTTCTATTCTACAACATTCTGTAAATAACATTATGACCCTTTGAATCCTTCATACTTGAAATATTCCATAATTGTTTGATCTCCCATTCTACTTCCCCTTTGCATTTGTTCTGTTTGTGCATTCAACAAATATTTGCTGAGTGTCTATACCAAGCATGTTTTAGGTGACCGAGCTATGATAGACAACAAAACTAAGCCCTTTACACTCATGAAGACAACCATGTAGAAAGAGGGAGACAGGTGATAACAAATAACCAACTATAATAAATATCAGTGCATTGATGCAAGGAAGAAAAATAACAATTGGTAAATTAAATAAAATGGAGAACCAAGATGCTACTTTTCAGTGTGTGGTCAGCAAAAGGTCCTCAGTTAAGGTAACATTTGAGCAGAGCCCTGAAGGAAGTGAAGAATTTTTCAGTACAGGATTAAAGGCAAACTGTTTCCTGAGGTGTTAAATAGTATGTTTGAAATGCTCCAAAGACTGTGAGGAGATCAGTGCATTGGAGAGGAATGACTAAGGAGATCAAATACCATGTATGGTACAAAGCTAGAAGACAGATTAAATAGAACTTGATCTAACTTTATGGCATCCAGGCATAAATTTTCTAGAATTATTTCTCAAATGCCCCCTCCTTCCTTGTTATTGTTATCTATGCTAACAGTCTAGTTTAGCCCTATTAACCTTTCCTTTATATACCTGGAGACTCCCAAATGAGGTCTCTGTAGCTTCATTTTTTCTTTTGTTCATTTTGTTAACTGCCAGATTAAATTGCATTTAATCATAGTCTTTTTTCCAACAATTTCCCCTGAACTACCTAATATATATAAATAATTTGGCCCAACATTCTAATCTAGCCTCAGTTTAACTTTCTAGCCTAAGACCTTATACTATATGTACCAATAAAATCAAACAAATTATTATTCCTGTAGTACTACCTTCAATTCCTTGTTTTAGTTCATTTATTCTTTCTTCCAAAAGGTCACCCCAACACCATCTCACTAAACCTTCAAAGCTCAAAAGGACTGTTTTGAACCATTAATGATGTCTTCCCCCTGTAAGTCCTCTAACAATATACAAATTCTTTTTGTTAAGAACCCTCACTGACATTATGATTCTTGACACACATGGCTTACCCACCCCTTTGGGTTATGAATTCTCTAAAGACAGTACATTATTTCATTTATCTTTCTAGCTACTATTTCACTTACCATAGTAGTTTATATGTAGTCCATGAATATTTGTTGACTAATTTAAATTTAATAAATTTACTAATGTGTGTAGTTAAGAGAATAAGCAGTCTCACGTTGCCCAAGAAGTTCATACATCAAAATAAATATATAGCAGATTTCTGTGAAACATTGATTAAAATCTATGGTCTATTCTCCCCCCCCCCCCGCGCCGGTGCTGGGATGAAACCCAGGGCTTCCTTCATGCTAGGCAAGTATTCTACTACAGAGCAACATCATCAGCTTCATACTTCAAATAGTTAAACCATGCACATATTTCCATTCCACAGTCTTTATCCACTTCATCCCTACCTAAGGTAAAGCTTACCAACATAGGAGAGATCTACATTTATAAGAGCCTATCAGTAAGACCAGATCACTGAAGAAAGTACATTTAGAAATAGCACATTTTCAGAGCTAGTCACATCTATAATATATATGGATGCTAACTTTAAACAAATTCTGCTTTAATTTCCATAATGGAAGGGAGAAAAATCAATATGGCATTGTAATGATAATTGGCAGTAAGCTACTATTCAATTGAAGCATGTAATCACCCAATGCAATAAGCTATTTTCTATAAAGACTCTCAATAATCAGTGACGTGGTGGTAGAGGGCTAAAGGGACATCAGCTCTAAGCATAATATACTATATTTAATCTATCACAGAGAATAATCAGCAGATATCATTACTGCACAGCATAATCTACAACCTTAACATAGTAGGAATTCTGAACAAATTTATGTAGATAGCCCTCAATATCTGCTTTGGAATTTGGTGTCAATATCTTCTTTGGCATTTGGGAAGAAGAAAAAACAATCTGTGACTTCTTTAAATTTAACATTTACAAAATGTTTTTAAAATTATAGGTTTTATTCATATTTCTGTTACATCTAGTGCTATTAAAATCATTAGGATTTTTTCTTTCTTGGTCTAGGAAATTATTTGACACAAATCAGTCACCCACACATCTCAGAATGTTATCAAATCATGCAGTTTATGGTACTTTGGTTTCATTCAGTAAAAATTTCTATTGATCTTGGATGGGGGAGGAAATAACCATGAAATTTCAGTGTGAGGAAGAAGGGCCTATTTATTACAAACTAGTCAATGAAAAGTCTCAGTTGTGAATACTGTAGGCTGATGGCCACAGGAGACCTAATAAGAGTCTTCAGCCAGGTACAGTGGCACACACTTGTAAGCCCAGCATGTGAGGAGGCTGATGAAGAAAGAACACAAGTTCAAGGCCAGCCTGGGCAACTTAGTGAGATTATCTCAAAATTAAACATAAATAAATGAATTAAAAGGGCTGGGGTATAGCTCAGTGGTACAGCATCTCTGTATTCCATCCCCAATACAAAAATAAATAAAAGAGTTCAGAGTTTTTAAAATAGAATAGTAGCCTGAAAGGAGTTTATTGCCAAAGGGATACAACAATTATGATGCAGTATAATGACACTCAGGAGATTAAAAGAATGTGCAGCTGCACATCTTTTTTCCTTTTTCTCTTGCCAGTACCATTTTTCTATCTTACAGACATCAAGCCTTTGTGGCCTCTATCCAAGTGTTTGCTATTCATACACAGTCTCATTCTCTGTGTGTATGTACGTATGTATACACACACACACACACACACACACACACACACACACACGTGCCATGAAATGATGAAGCAGTTAAAACCAAAATGTTGGCTCCCATACATGGGCTGAATTTTGACACTGCAACAAAAGAAGTATAAATTAGTATTTATTAGGGTGCATCCAAAACCAGCATCATCAACATTGCTTGAAAGTTTGTTAGAAATGGTAATTCTTGGGTCCTGAACTATAAAATCAGTAAATAGGGCAGGGGGACGGCGGAGTGAACAAGTTATGTTTTAAGTCCTCCCTGGTAGTTCTAATGCTTGCTCATATTTTAGCACCAGTGGCATAGAACATGGTTTACAGAGAAGTAGAGGAAAGCTTTCTCAGGCAGAACTCAGGCTCAGAATCCAAGACTGCTTTGTATATCCTCCTAACCATACGGTGTACTCCCACTGCCACAGGACAAAAAGGAATTGATGTGAAGCAGGTATTATTGGCATATTTTACAAAGTATAAAAATGTCAGCTCTGAGTTATTCAATACTAATTGACATCCAGAACTTTAAAAATAAAGTTGATGACTTCATTTAAAGTCCAACATGGGGACTGCAGATCAAGACAGACAGACCTAAATTTTGTTGTCGCATAATAGCCCTGAAATAAGAAAGAGCAATTCATCACAGATCTTAAATTTGCGAAACATAGAAGAAGCAGAGAATAAGGAAGAACGAAACAGAAGACAACATGGGGAAGAAGAATGATCTTTTATAATTTCCATAATTACCCTGAAATATAAAACATTTTTCTTTCATTTCTACTGAGATGATTTATACACTGTAAAATTCAACATTTTGACAAATTTTACAGTCATATAATCACCAACACAAGATACAGAATATTTCCATCATCCCAAAATATTGCCCAATTCTCCTTTGTAGTCAATACCCTTTCTCTATCTCACCCCTTGGTAACTACTTACCTGATTTATGTCCTTATAGTTCTGCTTTTTCCAGATGTCATTATAAATGGAATTATTCAGTTTGCACATTTTTATGTCAGGTTTATTTAACATAGCATAAATATTTTTATTTGCTTTTTTTCATTAAACATGGCACTAGAATCACTCAGCATAAAAATTATAATAGCCAACAATTTTGTTGAATGTCTCAGCAGTCCATTCCTTGCTATTATATGGATATACCACCATTTGTTTATCTACTAATATTAGTTGATATACATTTCAGTTGTTTCCAGGTTTTAATAATTATGAATAAAACTGCTATAAACATCCACATAGAAGTATTTGTGTAAGCATATGTTTATTTTTTCTCCAGACAATACTTGGCGGTGAAATTCCTTGGTCTGATGGTAAGTACATGTTTAACTTTTAAAAAAACTGCTTTCCAAGTTAGCCATTCTATTTGACACTACTTCAGCAAAGTGTTACAGTTCCAAATTCTTCAAATCCTTGTCTGTACTTGATATTGAAAGTCTTTTTAAATTCAGCCATTCTAAAAACAGCTTTCAGGTAAAGAAACTTGATAAGTAAAGCAGTTAAGTAACTTGGAAAACATCAGTCAATAAGAAATTAGCTACAGTTTTAGAATCTAAACCCATATTGGACTCCCAAGACCTTACTTCTTTCAACCACATCATTAGAAATTACTAAAACAAGAGCACTACACTGTTTTCTATAAAAATATCTGGCTAATGATCTCACCAATAACTCAATGAAGAACAATTTATGATTGATACAGAACTGCATTGATTTTATATCTATATATCTATGCCTAGACACACACTTATATTTATTTATATAGCTTAGTTCAATTCTTTAGATAGGCTAATTACGTTATAATCCATGTTTTTAT